TCACCTCCGTAATCCAATGAGCCACGGTAATACGTTATCTCTAGACAGGCTAGTAGGACAAACATTAGTAAATGTACAGTCATATTTTAGTGAGTTTTATTGAAAGACATAAAGTCATTATCATTCAACTTTGATTCTCATTAAGTTAAATGGTTTTTATTTCTGATTCTCACAGACGGCTGTGACACTGTTGGTTCGTCCCATCGCAGCACGTCGTGCACATGGTTTGAACGGATAGAGTGTTTTATATCGAAGTCGAACTAAATATCATATGTGATTGTCTGATTTGTTTACGTGATGTGTACGTAGTTTTTTTTTATTGTTAGATGACTGACCAAATGGTTTTACTCCAGATTGACACGTCAGGAAGCATTTTGATGCATTCAGATTTCATTAGATTTGCATATCACGAGAAGTGCATCCAGATCCACAGAACTTAATTCACTATTTGTATATCACTTACAGATAGCAGTATCACGTAACTGGGGTTTCACAAAGTGGCCACGCGCCAGTTTCCAAGAGATGCGTGCAAAAGGACAATTGGTGTCGGACGGTGTTGGTGCGAAATACATTCCTGCTCATGGCTCCTTAGAAATTTGGAAAAATTCTCAAGCACGCTTAGCTGGTATAAATGCATAAGAGCAGACCAAATAAATCATTGGTGAACACTAGTCTGGTTTTCGTTCTTCAATGCTTCTGCATATCAACGCAAATCTGGGTGCGGTTTTGCAATAAGTGACGATTACCTGCAAAATTGAAATCTAGTGGTGCACAATAAAAAGTATTTTATCCATGATAATAATAACACAAGGTTAAAGTTTGACGCTATTAGGCGACGAAACCATGTGTTTCTATTGAAGATTAGGCACAGTTCGTTGTAGCGACAATGATGAAGAGAGTGTCCGACAGTTTTGAATCGTGGATTAACTATCGAAAACGAAGTTACAACATTTAAGTAGAAAAGTGGAAATATCTCTGTGAGTGTCTCTACATAAAACGTACCCTTCAGTCTTAGTTCCCCGTGGTTTTGAGTATGTCGTGTAGTGTTGACTGTTGTGTGGTAGATTTTTGTTTTACTCGAAAGGATCATCTGGATATCGAGTTGTATTTGGTGGTGTTTCACTCCAAGTATGCTTAAGGTATCCTAAATTGTTGGGAGCTAGTCCACCAACTACTGCACATGATGTGCTGTAGCATTTCAGACTAGCTAGAATAGAAGCGTACGCAGATGCCATTGTGAGAGTGGATAGAGTGAGTTGGTATGAACAGGTGTGAGTTTGTGATTGGTGGTGAATTGTTTGTGAGTTTTTGTTGTTGTAATTGTTGAGGTTACTGGTGTGTGTATGTGCGTGTGTGTGTAGTTGGATGTCGTCGCATGCAGATCTGATTGGATTTGCTTTGAAACGCATCCGAGATGAGGTGAAGCATGTGATGTACTGGCTGTTTTCCATTGGTTTGGGACAGGCAACAGGATCCATGCGAGATGATATGTGAGTGAGTGTATTTTGAGGTTGAGGATGAGTTGAGTGTATTTCTGGTTGCCTGGATGTTATGTAGAGTGGTGTGTGTGTGTGTGTGTATGTGCTTGTAGGAGGTTTTTTGATTGATTTAACGGTTTGCATTTCAGTGTAGAGACGGAGTATTATTGTGCTCTTATCTCAAGGGTGAAATGCGAGAGAGTTTCGTGTGTTGCAGATTGCTCTGAGATGATCTCGGGGTTTCTGCGAGGAGCACGAGAGATGCTTTGTGATAGATTGTTGGTATGCATGTATAAAATTGTGACTGAGGAATTCTTTTGGATTGTAGGGTGTATTTGTGTGTGACATTGTTGTCGTAGTACTTAGGTTTTTACGTTGACGTTATTAATGGGTGGATGATGTGATGAGTATGGTGATAGATGGTGTGAGAGGTGATCAAGTGAAGTGTTGATATTTGGTGTGTGTGTGTGTGTGTGTGTTATGTGACTGGGCATCTGGACCAGCGCCCATGCGACACAGGATGCGTGGGCTCCAGATGATGCTAAATTGGAAGTGCGAATTGAGGCGTAGTTGGCTGATTTTGCGACAAGGAATGTTGGTTGTTTTGTCTTACCTAGTGGTAGTCTATTGGAGTGATTTAATTTGTGTTAATGCTGGTTGTAATGGTTCAGTGGGAGTTGTGAATTGATTTTGTCGTGGTGGGTTTGAATAGTATGTGTCTTGCTGACGTGATTGATTGTGAGAGGGTTTCCGGGTGTTGTTCTTCTTCGTTTGTTTAGTGGACAGAGTTGTGTTTTGTCTGAGGATTGTTTGTGTCCTGCGTTTAGTCGATGTTGGTTTGAGCGTTGTTGTTGTAGTTGTTGATCGGTGAGTTGGTCCATTGATTATGTTGTTGTGTGTCGTTGTTTGATTGTGAGAGTGTGTGTGGAGGTGCTGTGTTGTTGTTTTGGTTGTGTGCACCATGAAGTGCTCTTGCCATTCGATGAGTGTGAGCTCCAGAGTGGTGCTAAATTGTGATGGCGAAGTGACTTTGCTACAGTTGGTTTGTTGATTGTTGGTTGTGTGGATAATTGTGGGAGGTGGGTGAGTAATGGTAGTACTTGTGTTTTCGGTGTTGTGGTGGGTAAGTGTGAGTCTATATTTATATTTGTGTGGTTGTGGTGATTGGTTGAATTGAATAATTTAGTGGTGATGGGAAGCGGAGCGGTGTGATAGCTAACATGCGTGTCTCTTTGTTCTTGACTAGCATTTAGTCTGATTGCACTGATTTGCCCCGATGAACGACTGACGAGAGTATTGTTTATTGCTTGGTTGCTTGTTGAATGCTTTTTGTTGGAAGTGAGAGGGATGGAGAGAGAGAATAATCTGTTATGTGTGTTGTTTAGGGATGCAGTTGAGTGTTTTCTTGAGTTTGTGTGTCATTGAGTGGTTGTGTTTAGTGTGGAGGGTCGATTTGATGTAAATTTTGGGATGGTTTGTTGAATAGTTGTTTTGGCGGATCATGTGTGTGTATGTGTTGTGATATTTCCGAATGGGTTGGTGAAGTGTGGGTAGGTGAGTTGATGTGATGACATTGAATAGTTTATTTGCTACACATCTCCGAGGTGTTAATATTGAGGTGGTGAAGTTTGTTTGTAGTGACTTGATCGTGGATACAGTGAGAGGCCATTTGTGAATTTGAGTCGTTGGTGAATCGTGGTGTGTGTGTTTGATAGAGAGAGAAGGAGACTCATGTTTTAGTTTTCCGTGGTTTTGAGTATGTCGTGTGTGTGTGTGTGTGTGCAATGACAGGGAAAATTGTCAGCCCTTGGTGTTTGCTGTCGCCGATGATGTTTTACATACCCAACCATTTGTATGAGTTGACTGCTGGGAATCTGGTTGACTTCAAAATTTTCACGTCTCCTATATAAAGCATTTTCTTTTGGTTCTACGTAGCTGTCCGCTTTACACCTGACACTGGGTCCATTCTTGAAATATGATCTCGCAATTGGTTGACACAATTAGACCCAATCCATAAAGTCCGTTTGAGACCTCCCAGCCAAAACTGCCTCTAGCGCGGATGAAACATTACATGAATTGATATAATGCAGCGCTGTCCACTCCGACATAACACTTAATGCGAACCACTTATAAAAATACTTGGACAGTTTGTAGATTTTCCATGTCGGTCTTTGTAGCCTTGCTCACATATAATGAGATCGCGGGAGCAGTACCAAATTCGGGAAAAAAAACTGAGGTCAGTTAATGACGCTGTTGGCCATCAAAAGTGGCTTCGGCAGTACATAAAAGACTACCAACAACCACGTGAAATGTTTAGTAGTACACGAGATTCATTCGGTATGAACTTGTAAGTGACAAGACACGAATACGACTGCTGGAGTCTTTGACTGTTAACCTGAGTGATGTAGGCATTTTTTCTTTGTCTGGTCAGGGTACTGGAGGTCATCGGGAACAGTGGATTAAGGCTGAATGAAATGATATGAAGTCGATCACAACAGCTTAGATGTATACACCAATTGTAGTCTTCAATGTTTTGATCAATCCTAATTTATTTAATCCTCCTTTTCTCACACCTTAATTGTGTCACTTCTGTCCACTTTTTCTTGAACACTGTTTAATTGTGTCGATTTGACTCGAAATACTTTATAGGTGGGTTCTTTGTTGATTTTCATGTATGAGTAACGACGTAATGTCGTTAACCAGATAGTCTATGGATCATACAAGGCTAAATAGGGTTTGGTGTTCCGCAGTTGTATGTTGCATATGATGACGGCTTGCAGCAGTTTACCTTTTGCTCCTCAAATGATGTTGCTGACCAGAGTTTGACTAGATTCGTATTCTATGGAGGACTTGCAAGTGTAGTGCAATGCACTGCAGGTTTCTTCCATGCTTTGGTGATGGTGGTGGTGGTGTTGGAAGTCTTCGCGCAACCCATCTGTGCACATTTCAAGAACTAATGATTTCAATCTTTAGTTCGCTTTAATGTGCTACAAAGAGTCGAATAATCAAAGCTTAGTTGTCTGAGCTATGGCCAATTTGATACATTTGGTAACCGGTTTCTTGACATTGAGAAAGTCTTAAGTTGAAGTAACATGCTGACTGATTGACAAAATCAGCGTAGAACCTCGCACACAGGTGCCTGGGAACCCAGTAATCGCATTTTGTCTCTTACTTTTACCGGCCATGTGTTAGCCAGCAGTATAACTGAACGGACAGAGGCATCAACTTACATTTGGCACGTACCAGCGAAACGCATGCCAAGAAAACTCAGATTTCTGCAAAGCGCTTGCAGAAGACCCATCACATGGTCAGCGTTTTCACGTAGCAGGACAATCTTGTCTGGATGCTCCAAGTAGAGCAGGTGACCTCGACTTGATAGGTCAGTCACTGTGAAGTCAGACGTACTTATGGTTATGTACATTATTCCTTCTATGATGAAGTTGAATAGGAACGGTGATAGTGGACATCCATGGCAGACACCCAGTTGTCAATTCACATGACTCTCCATGGGTTGTAATACAGGTGTGTGTGAGTTGAGTTAGAATGGAGAGCTTTGGATGGCGTTGTACACGTGCTGGGTACCGTGTTGCCTGTCAGACACTGAGACAACACCACAGTCGACAGTGAAATGCCGCCCTCAGGTCGAGAAGTGTGGCATGTGGACCAGCAGCCAGCAAGTATGCGTGTGTTTCATAACCTGTGACAGTCTGACTGATGTAGCCTCTTCAGGGTGTGAATAGCTGCTATATGCAGCTAATGATAGCCTTTCTGGTTGGAATCTGCGAGCCAATTGACAACGATTGTTGAAAGTCTTGAGTTGAACTGTACTCAACCTGTGTAGAAAAGATGCACCTACGATACATCTCCATGTTGAAGAAGATATAAGCATATTGTTTCGTCTACTCAGCTGTAAGATTTTGACGATCATTCATATATCTCTTGATACAGTCTTGCATGTGGTTCTGATGCGATGCATGGTGACTGCATGTCTTCGATATCAGTCTTAGGTTTCTGATATTGTCTGCTGATCATGGCTTTACGAATTATTGTATCGGTCCGTGAGAGGTATGCAGGCCAAGAATCAATCCTACTGAGTGGTTAAACTTCGTTGCTCAAGACAACTAATAATTAGGTTGAAACGTGTTTCATTATTCACATCGTCTATATGTACGGAATAAGTGCCAAGATGTGACTGCGATTCGACACTGATCCCATTCAGTTCATTTAGCTAAGTTACCAACCACAGAATAATGATAGACCAAGTTTGATAAGGGACCAAATCCAAGTAGCTCTGAAAAATACCTTATGAAATTTAGTCTGTGTTATTTCGAAGCAACATTTAACCTCCTGATATACACTACAGGATGATATCTACTTTTGGTTTGACTTGGTGTTCCACGAAATGTGAAAGTCATAGCTCTAATACGTAAGTTGTAAACAAACTGATATTTTTGCATATGGCAGTTTTTCAGTGATGGACATGGTATCGTCATATTTGGCTTTTAGGTCCTTATCACTTTCGAAATCGTGAGCATTACGACAATTGGTTATATCTCCTCCAGATGGGTTTTCGAATAAAAGATAGGTAGCTAGTGAATCCACTTTTTTTCCAAAGCCGCTCTAGCAACAGTCGGTGTTTTATTCATTGATGTTGACAACACGAATTTGCCTACAGATTCATGAGTAGATTGATCATCTCTGTAAACAAACAAGTAAACAGAACTAAAAGCTTGTCTTAGACGGAATCGAAGCGCACATTCTTGCAGTAGGCAACGAACCTCACCTACTGTGTAAAGGCCGGTGATACTACTTGGCCGCTCAAACCTCGGTAGGTGGGGCAGGGCTCAAACTCGTGACTCGGGTTGAAAATCACCTCCGTAATCCAATGAGCCACGGTAATACGTTATCTTTAGACAGGCTAGTAGGACAAACATTAGTAAATGTACAGTCATATTTTAGTGAGTTTTATTGAAAGGCATAAAGTCATTATCATTCAACTTTGATTCTCATTAAGTTAAATGGTTTTTATTTCTGATTCTCACAGACGGCTGTGACACTGTTGGTTCGTCCCATCGCAGCACGTCGTGCACATGGTTTGAACGGATAGAGTGTTTTATATCGAAGTCGAACTAAATATCATATGTGATTGTCTGATTTGTTTACGTGATGTGTACGTAGTTTTTTTTTATTGTTAGATGACTGACCAAATGGTTTTACTCCAGATTGACACGTCAGGAAGCATTTTGATGCATTCAGATTTCATTAGATTTGCATATCACGAGAAGTGCATCCAGATCCACAGAACTTAATTCACTATTTGTATATCACTTACAGATAGCAGTATCACGTAACTGGGGTTTCACAAAGTGGCCACGCGCCAGTTTCCAAGAGATGCGTGCAAAAGGACAATTGGTGTCGGACGGTGTTGGTGCGAAATACATTCCTGCTCATGGCTCCTTAGAAATTTGGAAAAATTCTCAAGCACGCTTAGCTGGTATAAATGCATAAGAGCAGACCAAATAAATCATTGGTGAACACTAGTCTGGTTTTCGTTCTTCAATGCTTCTGCATATCAACGCAAATCTGGGTGCGGTTTTGCAATAAGTGACGATTACCTGCAAAATTGAAATCTAGTGGTGCACAATGAAAAGTATTTTATCCATGATAATAATAACACAAGGTTAAAGTTTGACGCTATTAGGCGACGAAACCATGTGTTTCTATTGAAGATTAGGCACAGTTCGTTGTAGCGACAATGATGAAGAGAGTGTCCGACAGTTTTGAATCGTGGATTAACTATGGAAAACGAAGTTACAACATTTAAGTAGAAAAGTGGAAATATCTCTGTGAGTGTCTCTACATAAAACGTACCCTTCAGTCTTAGTTCCCCGTGGTTTTGAGTATGTCGTGTAGTGTTGACTGTTGTGTGGTAGATTTTTGTTTTACTCGAAAGGATCATCTGGATATCGAGTTGTATTTGGTGGTGTTTCACTCCAAGTATGCTTAAGGTATCCTAAATTGTTGGGAGCTAGTCCACCAACTACTGCACATGATGTGCTGTAGCATTTCAGACTAGCTAGAATAGAAGCGTACGCAGATGCCATTGTGAGAGTGGATAGAGTGAGTTGGTATGAACAGGTGTGAGTTTGTGATTGGTGGTGAATTGTTTGTGAGTTTTTGTTGTTGTAATTGTTGAGGTTACTGTGGTGTGTGTGTGTGCGTGTGTGTGTAGTTGGATGTCGTCGCATGCAGATCTGATTGGATTTGCTTTGAAACGCATCCGAGATGAGGTGAAGCATGTGATGTACTGGCTGTTTTCCATTGGTTTGGGACAGGCAACAGGATCCATGCGAGATGATATGTGAGTGAGTGTATTTTGAGGTTGAGGATGAGTTGAGTGTATTTCTGGTTGCCTGGATGTTATGTAGAGTGGTGTGTGTGTGTGTGTATGTGCTTGTAGGAGGTTTTTTGATTGATTTAACGGTTTGCATTTCAGTGTAGAGACGGAGTATTATTGTGCTCTTATCTCAAGGGTGAAATGCGAGAGAGTTTCGTGTGTTGCAGATTGCTCTGAGATGATCTCGGGGTTTCTGCGAGGAGCACGAGAGATGCTTTGTGATAGATTGTTGGTATGCATGTATAAAATTGTGACTGAGGAATTCTTTTGGATTGTAGGGTGTATTTGTGTGTGACATTGTTGTCGTAGTACTTAGGTTTTTACGTTGACGTTATTAATGGGTGGATGATGTGATGAGTATGGTGATAGATGGTGTGAGAGGTGATCAAGTGAAGTGTTGATATTTGGTGTGTGTGTGTGTGTGTGTGTGTTATGTGACTGGGCATCTGGACCAGCGCCCATGCGACACAGGATGCGTGGGCTCCAGATGATGCTAAATTGGAAGTGCGAATTGAGGCGTAGTTGGCTGATTTTGCGACAAGGAATGTTGGTTGTTTTGTCTTACCTAGTGGTAGTCTATTGGAGTGATTTAATTTGTGTTAATGCTGGTTGTAATGGTTCAGTGGGAGTTGTGAATTGATTTTGTCGTGGTGGGTTTGAATAGTATGTGTCTTGCTGACGTGATTGATTGTGAGAGGGTTTCCGGGTGTTGTTCTTCTTCGTTTGTTTAGTGGACAGAGTTGTGTTTTGTCTGAGGATTGTTTGTGTCCTGCGTTTAGTCGATGTTGGTTTGAGCGTTGTTGTTGTAGTTGTTGATCGGTGAGTTGGTCCATTGATTATGTTGTTGTGTGTCGTTGTTTGATTGTGAGAGTGTGTGTGGAGGTGCTGTGTTGTTGTTTTGGTTGTGTGCACCATGAAGTGCTCTTGCCATTCGATGAGTGTGAGCTCCAGAGTGGTGCTAAATTGTGATGGCGAAGTGACTTTGCTACAGTTGGTTTGTTGATTGTTGGTTGTGTGGATAATTGTGGGAGGTGGGTGAGTAATGGTAGTACTTGTGTTTTCGGTGTTGTGGTGGGTAAGTGTGAGTCTATATTTATATTTGTGTGGTTGTGGTGATTGGTTGAATTGAATAATTTAGTGGTGATGGGAAGCGGAGCGGTGTGATAGCTAACATGCGTGTCTCTTTGTTCTTGACTAGCATTTAGTCTGATTGCACTGATTTGCCCCGATGAACGACTGACGAGAGTATTGTTTATTGCTTGGTTGCTTGTTGAATGCTTTTTGTTGGAAGTGAGAGGGATGGAGAGAGAGAATAATCTGTTATGTGTGTTGTTTAGGGATGCAGTTGAGTGTTTTCTTGAGTTTGTGTGTCATTGAGTGGTTGTGTTTAGTATGGAGGGTCGATTTGATGTAAATTTTGGGATGGTTTGTTGAATAGTTGTTTTGGCGGATCATGTGTGTGTATGTGTTGTGATATTTCCGAATGGGTTGGTGAAGTGTGGGTAGGTGAGTTGATGTGATGACATTGAATAGTTTATTTGCTACACATCTCCGAGGTGTTAATATTGAGGTGGTGAAGTTTGTTTGTAGTGACTTGATCGTGGATACAGTGAGAGGCCATTTGTGAATTTGAGTCGTTGGTGAATCGTGGTGTGTGTGTTTGATATAGAGAGAAGGAGACTCATGTTTTAGTTTTCCGTGGTTTTGAGTATGTCGTGTGTGTGTGTGTGTGCAATGACAGGGAAAATTGTCAGCCCTTGGTGTTTGCTGTCGCCGATGATGTTTTACATACCCAACCATTTGTATGAGTTGACTGCTGGGAATCTGGTTGACTTCAAAATTTTCACGTCTCCTATATAAAGCATTTTCTTTTGGTTCTACGTAGCTGTCCGCTTTACACCTGACACTGGGTCCATTCTTGAAATATGATCTCGCAATTGGTTGACACAATTAGACCCAATCCATAAAGTCCGTTTGAGACCTCCCAGCCAAAACTGCCTCTAGCGCGGATGAAACATTACATGAATTGATATAATGCAGCGCTGTCCACTCCGACATAACACTTAATGCGAACCACTTATAAAAATACTTGGACAGTTTGTAGATTTTCCATGTCGGTCTTTGTAGCCTTGCTCACATATAATGAGATCGCGGGAGCAGTACCAAATTCGGGAAAAAAAACTGAGGTCAGTTAATGACGCTGTTGGCCATCAAAAGTGGCTTCGGCAGTACATAAAAGACTACCAACAACCACGTGAAATGTTTAGTAGTACACGAGATTCATTCGGTATGAACTTGTAAGTGACAAGACACGAATACGACTGCTGGAGTCTTTGACTGTTAACCTGAGTGATGTAGGCATTTTTTCTTTGTCTGGTCAGGGTACTGGAGGTCATCGGGAACAGTGGATTAAGGCTGAATGAAATGATATGAAGTCGATCACAACAGCTTAGATGTATACACCAATTGTAGTCTTCAATGTTTTGATCAATCCTAATTTATTTAATCCTCCTTTTCTCACACCTTAATTGTGTCACTTCTGTCCACTTTTTCTTGAACACTGTTTAATTGTGTCGATTTGACTCGAAATACTTTATAGGTGGGTTCTTTGTTGATTTTCATGTATGAGTAACGACGTAATGTCGTTAACCAGATAGTCTATGGATCATACAAGGCTAAATAGGGTTTGGTGTTCCGCAGTTGTATGTTGCATATGATGACGGCTTGCAGCAGTTTACCTTTTGCTCCTCAAATGATGTTGCTGACCAGAGTTTGACTAGATTCGTATTCTATGGAGGACTTGCAAGTGTAGTGCAATGCACTGCAGGTTTCTTCCATGCTTTGGTGATGGTGGTGGTGGTGTTGGAAGTCTTCGCGCAACCCATCTGTGCACATTTCAAGAACTAATGATTTCAATCTTTAGTTCGCTTTAATGTGCTACAAAGAGTCGAATAATCAAAGCTTAGTTGTCTGAGCTATGGCCAATTTGATACATTTGGTAACCGGTTTCTTGACATTGAGAAAGTCTTAAGTTGAAGTAACATGCTGACTGATTGACAAAATCAGCGTAGAACCTCGCACACAGGTGCCTGGGAACCCAGTAATCGCATTTTGTCTCTTACTTTTACCGGCCATGTGTTAGCCAGCAGTATAACTGAACGGACAGAGGCATCAACTTACATTTGGCACGTACCAGCGAAACGCATGCCAAGAAAACTCAGATTTCTGCAAAGCGCTTGCAGAAGACCCATCACATGGTCAGCGTTTTCACGTAGCAGGACAATCTTGTCTGGATGCTCCAAGTAGAGCAGGTGACCTCGACTTGATAGGTCAGTCACTGTGAAGTCAGACGTACTTATGGTTATGTACATTATTCCTTCTATGATGAAGTTGAATAGGAACGGTGATAGTGGACATCCATGGCAGACACCCAGTTGTCAATTCACATGACTCTCCATGGGTTGTAATACAGGTGTGTGTGAGTTGAGTTAGAATGGAGAGCTTTGGATGGCGTTGTACACGTGCTGGGTACCGTGTTGCCTGTCAGACACTGAGACAACACCACAGTCGACAGTGAAATGCCGCCCTCAGGTCGAGAAGTGTGGCATGTGGACCAGCAGCCAGCAAGTATGCGTGTGTTTCATAACCTGTGACAGTCTGACTGATGTAGCCTCTTCAGGGTGTGAATAGCTGCTATATGCAGCTAATGATAGCCTTTCTGGTTGGAATCTGCGAGCCAATTGACAACGATTGTTGAAAGTCTTGAGTTGAACTGTACTCAACCTGTGTAGAAAAGATGCACCTACGATACATCTCCATGTTGAAGAAGATATAAGCATATTGTTTCGTCTACTCAGCTGTAAGATTTTGACGATCATTCATATATCTCTTGATACAGTCTTGCATGTGGTTCTGATGCGATGCATGGTGACTGCATGTCTTCGATATCAGTCTTAGGTTTCTGATATTGTCTGCTGATCATGGCTTTACGAATTATTGTATCGGTCCGTGAGAGGTATGCAGGCCAAGAATCAATCCTACTGAGTGGTTAAACTTCGTTGCTCAAGACAACTAATAATTAGGTTGAAACGTGTTTCATTATTCACATCGTCTATATGTACGGAATAAGTGCCAAGATGTGACTGCGATTCGACACTGATCCCATTCAGTTCATTTAGCTAAGTTACCAACCACAGAATAATGATAGACCAAGTTTGATAAGGGACCAAATCCAAGTAGCTCTGAAAAATACCTTATGAAATTTAGTCTGTGTTATTTCGAAGCAACATTTAACCTCCTGATATACACTACAGGATGATATCTACTTTTGGTTTGACTTGGTGTTCCACGAAATGTGAAAGTCATAGCTCTAATACGTAAGTTGTAAACAAACTGATATTTTTGCATATGGCAGTTTTTCAGTGATGGACATGGTATCGTCATATTTGGCTTTTAGGTCCTTATCACTTTCGAAATCGTGAGCATTACGACAATTGGTTATATCTCCTCCAGATGGGTTTTCGAATAAAAGATAGGTAGCTAGTGAATCCACTTTTTTTCCAAAGCCGCTCTAGCAACAGTCGGTGTTTTATTCATTGATGTTGACAACACGAATTTGCCTACAGATTCATGAGTAGATTGATCATCTCTGTAAACAAACAAGTAAACAGAACTAAAAGCTTGTCTTAGACGGAATCGAAGCGCACATTCTTGCAGTAGGCAACGAACCTCACCTACTGTGTAAAGGCCGGTGATACTACTTGGCCGCTCAAACCTCGGTAGGTGGGGCAGGGCTCAAACTCGTGACTCGGGTTGAAAATCACCTCCGTAATCCAATGAGCCACGGTAATACGTTATCTTTAGACAGGCTAGTAGGACAAACATTAGTAAATGTACAGTCATATTTTAGTGAGTTTTATTGAAAGACATAAAGTCATTATCATTCAACTTTGATTCTCATTAAGTTAAATGGTTTTTATTTCTGATTCTCACAGACGGCTGTGACACTGTTGGTTCGTCCCATCGCAGCACGTCGTGCACATGGTTTGAACGGATAGAGTGTTTTATATCGAAGTCGAACTAAATATCATATGTGATTGTCTGATTTGTTTACGTGATGTGTACGTAGTTTTTTTTTATTGTTAGATGACTGACCAAATGGTTTTACTCCAGATTGACACGTCAGGAAGCATTTTGATGCATTCAGATTTCATTAGATTTGCATATCACGAGAAGTGCATCCAGATCCACAGAACTTAATTCACTATTTGTATATCACTTACAGATAGCAGTATCACGTAACTGGGGTTTCACAAAGTGGCCACGCGCCAGTTTCCAAGAGATGCGTGCAAAAGGACAATTGGTGTCGGACGGTGTTGGTGCGAAATACATTCCTGCTCATGGCTCCTTAGAAATTTGGAAAAATTCTCA